CAAAAAATAATATATTTTTAAAAATAAAAATTATATTCTAATAAGATAATCATATATATTTAAATTATCATATGTATAAAATATAAATTTAAAAGAGTTCTTCAATTATTTGATATTTATCAAATTTTGAAAGAGATTAGTTCTCACATGTGATAAAGAATACTTTTTAATAACAAGTTAATTTTTTATAAAATAAAATTTATAGTATATATATTTATCTTTTATACTTTCTATTTATGTGTACATTGATTAAAAACACCAAAATAGAAAAATCAAAATGAGAAAGATTGAAAGATTTATGTCCTATTTAGATTTTTTTATTATAAAATATGTTTTGAAATAAAGTATCATCTAAAATATTATATTATATATTTAAAAACATGTTTATATTATAAATAAATTAAACTTGATTTCTATATAATATAATATATTTATTTTTGTTTTTATTAGTATTAAATTATTATAAAGTATATTTTTAGGACTGTAGTTCTAACCAAACATTTAAAAAATTTATATGATAGATAAATAAATTATATTTAGGACATGTATTTTAAAAAAAAATTTGGTCTAAACCTACTAAATTATAATATAATATAGTCTGATCTCACTTATTTTCATCCTTAATCGTAATCATATATATAAAAACTTATAAAAAATAATTATGATATATATTTATACTTTTTAAAGTTATATGTAAGATTTTTAATATTATATATATAAATAAATATTGTTCCTACTATTTAAAATTTCTGAGTCCGTCACTAATTACATATACAATTTATAACGAAATTGTCCACTTTTAAGATAAGATAAATTTATTTTATTTGACATAAAAATATAAATATAATTATAAGTCACGAGAGTAAAACTCATCTATTAATCAGAATATTAATAAGATGAGAGTATTAAAGAAAGTAAATTCAATAATAATATATAAAAGAAATATTTATTTTTGATGTCCACTTTTTTAAAGGTATGTAATTATATTTTCATGATATATTTTATTTAATTTTCACTAATTTATATTTAAAGATAAAATAAAAAAATATATATATATATAAAATAGTTGCCCTCTTTAGAAAATAATAACTATTACTTTAAAAAAAAAACACTAATTTTTTTTACAGGTATGAATTGTCTTTTTCTCTGCTGGTGTCTGTAAATATATTAGAAAAAAGTTATGAGGAAATATTACAAAAGATTGTGGGGGTGTGAATAACATAAACGGGACGGGCAAAAAGCAATTAATTCTGCGTGATATCGATGAACAAATGAAAGCCCAAGTAAGCAGAAGAAAGGAACAAACAAAATCCAAGGGTTTTAGGAGTGAAGAACAGTTGTGTTCCAAAGTGAAGTGATTCATCACAAGCACTGCTATGAAGTTCCTTCAATCTCTCATTGGTATTCTTCTTCAACTCCTTCTTCATTCTAACTCACAAACACTGATATCACAATCTCACGTTCTCGTTTTTCTTTGTTTTATAGGTAAAACCCGTTATGCAGCGCGTGTCGGGTCACTCAATCGGGTCTCGGGGCTCCGATTATTCTCCGTTTCAACGGAAGAGTATTCCAAGAGAAACTATGCCAACAATGTTTCTGAGTACAACACTGTTTTGGGTTCTCTCACTGCTCAAAGAAGGTCTCTCACTACTCTTTTTTTTTTGTTGTTTTTTTTTGGTTAATTAGTTAATGTGAGACACCCCATTTTTTTTCAATTTTGCAAAGGTTGAATTTTTTCTATTTGGGGTGTGTTTGGTAGGATGTTCTTGCTGAGGGATGCGTACGATGATATGATGCTTGATGGGGTGAAGCCTACGCGCGACACTTTCCATTCACTTGTTGTTGGAACCATGAAGGGAGCTAGAATGCAAGATGCTTTCTTCTTCGTGGACCAAATGAAAATCATGGGTTTGGTCCCTGATGTATGCACCTTTTTTTTTTTTTTTTTTAATTCATAACTTTGCTTGTATAACTTTCTGTTTTGGGAAAGCTTGGATGTTATACACTTATGCTTGAAGTTGAATGCTTGAAAATGCTTACTTTTGGGGGGGGGGGGGGGGGG